AAAAATGGCATGTCATTTCAGAAAAAGTCTGGTTTTGTGTCAAAATACCTATGCTATATATAAATCTAATATATATCCTAATTCATGCTTTTGGGACATGAAAAATGCAATTTTAATTTCGTAAATCGGCCCACTAGAACGGGAGATATAGAACTGTCCCCCTCTTTTTTTTTTGTGCAGTGTACATGAAGTTTATGCGATGCAGAGCGCAATGAATGGACATGGTGCTAATGTTTTAACTCCTTAGCAACCTCTCAAGTCTTTGCCAACTGATCTTCTTCCACAAGATCTCACAGGCCGGCCAGAGCACTCTGCTTCTTGAATGTCATAGTTCTTGTTTTTTAACATGAACAAACCTTCACAGTCTTATATGGTACAACATTAGTACCTAAACCTGTACACATGATTTGGTGGCATTCTGTAGCTGACCTTTTGCAACAGAATTGAAAGTAAATGATGGTTCTAATCTGATAGCATAATAGTTCCATTTCAGACACCTTGTACTTAATGATAACGATATTTTTTTATATTTCACAACAGAGTGTTCTAAAGCAAGTCTCTTTCTTTCAAATGCTAAATATCATTTGACAAAATATGATTAAACATGCCAATACGAACTGTTTGTACAGATTGTATGTGCGGTGGCGGGAAACTTTCATTAAAAAAATTATATATCCAAAACATACAAAACAGAACACTTTTCTTGATAAAAATTACATCCCCCACCAATAAGCAATTAACAGAAAAGAAAACATAAAAAAATTTACCATGCTTCTAATTGCATGAGTGACTAAATGGTTAACAATGGAAGAACAAAATTCCAGTAATCCAAATTACTTTTTATTCTTTAAAGAATACTTGTAGGGATTATTTTAATTTTCTAATAGTTATTTTTAATTTTGAACAGTTTTCCTTATTTTCTTGTTTCCCACCTATAATTTCCTGCCAGATTGAGTTTTCAGGATCACAGTTTATGTAAATGAGATAGAACCAGTATTTAAGAGGAAGTCTTGCATCACTTTCGTAGAAGAGATTAGTTCTTAGCACAGCATGTTCTGCCTTCTGGACATGTTGCTGCTTTAAGCCAAATCTTACTATGTCTGGCCATATTGTTGTGTGCCTGCTAATATTTGCCAGTGAACTTTAAAAAAGGGCCAGTTCTGTTAATTATTTCTGTGCAGATTTGGCTAGATTTTAGTTAGCATTAGATTAGTTTCTTATTTTTAAATCTTAAGTTTTTTATCTTAAGTCCAAGTGGAGGCTTCCGGTAAGCCTAAGAAGGCCAACTGTAAATATTCTTGAGTAAAATAAAAGGATAATTTAACCCTTCTTTGGACTTGTTCTTACAGCTTTAAAAGTAAGCGATTAGTCGCTACACATGTCTCCAGTATTCTAATTGCCAAAGACAACCAATTTAGCTAGTATCTTATAACCTAAAGGCTTTCTGTTAATTTTTTTACATGTTTTATTTTAATTAGTTCCTTGACTTCATTAATACACAAAAAAAAATCAATAAAACAAATATATTTTTATGAAGCCACTTAATTAAAAAGAATGAAAGTGTTTTGATATTTTCATGGCTTAAAATAAATGTCATAAAGTTTGTCATGCTCTTTCATCTCTTATTTAATTCAACAATATGCAATTACATATCAGTATCAGATCATATATCGCTTAGAAAATATGAAGATTAAAACATTAATAGGAAAACAGAAAATTTTTGCTTTGCAATATTGATGCAAGAGAAGTCAGGTGTTTTAAATTTGTTACCTTTTTATTGTCATCATAATTTTGTAGTGCATGTAACATACATTCATCATTATTATAATTTTGTAATTTTTTTTTTTTTTTTTTTTTTTTTTTTTTTTTTTCCTTAAAGGAAAAGACTATTTTTCTTCGGTTTAAATAATAATAATTTTCCCAGTAAACATGTTCCTAAAAAAAGGAAGCTTGTTGTTATGACTATGAAGGGATCTTGGCATTAACATACCGAAAACTGTAAAGCCAGAACTAAATCTGCAGGTATGTAGAGTTGGAATAGCAATGATTTCAGATTTAAATAAAAATTCGGGATTTATTTTAAAGTATGATATTTTTTTCTTTTTTAATTATATAATTTTAGTGTTCATAGTAAACAAAAATAAAATTCCTTCCTCGTAGTAAATACATATTCAACCTGCAAAAAAAAAATAATTATCAGTATATATAATATTATTAAATCCTTAATCTTAATCTCAAGAGAAATCCTGCAGAAAGCAACAAAGACTATAACTTATCTATATGAATTTGTAGATGACAAGAAGCAAGTAACAAGATACAATTCTATTTTCTTTGAAGAAGAACTGACAGTAAAAAGTAAAAAAATTCTAAAAATTGTAGAATATCCTTTATTTATCAATACCTTAACTAAATTATGGAGCAACTTAGCACTTATGAATGCAGTATGCAATGGAACTTTTGAAAGTCAGCCAAATTTGCAACTAAAGATTTAAAGGTTCAGAATAGATAACACAAATATTAAATAAAACCCTGAAAAATTAAATTTTTCTCCATGTCTTTAAAAACTTACTAATTTAGTCGAATTTCATAAAACATCCCTCTTAAGGTTATGGGATTTAAGTCATCTTAGGTGGGAAAACGTAAGACAGAATCTCACATTCAGTAAAATCAGTGTACATCTTAAGATGTTTATTTCCCAATATTAAAAATCACACTTCTTAGAGGAAAAAAACAACTATTTATATGGAAACATATTATCCAAGTTTTTTGCATTTACTTCTTTGGTATGCTTTTCAATTTCTCCATCATTTTATTTTTATTTCATAACTTCTTTGAAGGACTTGTTCTTAAATACATATCGCAATAACACTCATGTCATGCAAAGAGATAAATAGACAGACATACAAACAAAAATAACACGTCTATGTAAAACTTATAACTCACACATTTTATTATTAATTTCCAAATTAAAAAATACACATTCTATTTGGATCACATTTATAACTATGAAAGAAGCAATAAACTGTCTAGAAATTAAATTTCCCTCAAGTCTACAGTTGGCAGACTATCAAAAAAAGTTCAAAAAAGGATAATGCTTGTGTATTACAGGGTCATGCGCACGACATGGAAATTGTATACCCAAGTGGAATTTCTCAGTTACTCATTTTTTTGTAGTTACATTATTATAGGAGCTGAAGATGGCAGCTTTTATTCCATCCCTTCCCAACTGCAAGCTTCAGTTGGTGATAAAGTTTATAACCAAACAAAATGCCAATTGAAAATTCATCAAGCATAAACGGTAGTCAGTTTTTTAGAAAAGGGACAAAATGTTAATGATCAGCAGCATAGTGGGCAGCTGTTGATCACGACAGGTCGTCATGATCAACAGCTGCCATTATGACAGTGACAAATTTCTAGATAGGTTTATTATATTATGCAAGATGGAACTGCATACTTCATTCCTAACAGGAAGCAAGCAGTGGTCAATATACTGACATCATAAAGGTCCTCCAACAAACAAAGAATTGAAGAAGATTGTGTCAAAACAAAAAGTAACATGTGGGAGGTCTTGGAACAATGTTTCTTCTTCTGTTTCCTAACAAGAGGTGAAAGCATAAATGCTGACTGTTATTATGTTATGATGCTGTTACATTATGTTATGATGTTGTGAGGCATCATGAAAACTGTAACAGGTTATTAAAAATACGTAATATGATATACTCGGTACCAGACTTATTCTTGTTGCAAAACAATATTCAACCTCATACAGTTCATTGCTTAATATATGTGAACAAGTTCTTATGGGAGGTATACAGACATTTGCCATATAGTCCCGATGTTACTCCCAGTGCCTTGCAGCGACTGCATGGTGAGAGAGGCCTCAGGTTATAAGGTATTTCTCTCGCCTTCATAGCATGCCTTCGTGGTGTAGTGGTCAGCACACTCGGCGCACATTCGAGACGTCCATGATTCGAGTCCAAATGAGGACACAGCTCATTTTTCATCTCTTCTGCTTCAAAATAACCTGATGTGTCTACAGCGATGTCCGAACTAAAGAAGGTGGTGAATGATGATGCTTCACCAGCAGGATTTGGTGATTAGATCCCCAGTCACCCTTTAAAAGGAAGGGTATATACACTATTTCTCCCGCCTTCTTAGTATGCCTTTGTGGTGTAGTGGTCACCACGCTCGGCATGTATTCGAGAGGTCAATGGTTCGAGTCCCAGAGAGGGCATTGCTCATTTTTCATCTCTCCTACTTCGAAATAACCTAATGTCTCTACAAGGTATACAGTTGCTTGCTCATGTCACCATCTATTAGCACCAATGAGAAGGGCTGCAGCGCACAAGTTTTGCATTCTGTTGGAAGATTGTAATGGCCTTTTTCAGTCCTGGGTCTGTTTTAATGCGAGTTGCATTCTCTACCACTACAGCAAAAGAGCTCTGTCATAGGTTCAAGAATTCCAACTCTTTCAAATTTGCAAACGTTAATTTGCTCTTGAGATCGCTACACACTAGTGATCACATAGTGCGAGAGACATTGGTAGCTTCCAGTACGTAGTTGTTTGCTCGTGTCCCCATCTATTAGCACTAGTGAGAAGTGCCACAGCACACGAGTTGTGCATGCTCTTGAAGAGGGCAATGACTTCGGGATTCAATCCTGAGTCTGTTTTAAAGCGAATCGAATTCTCTACCACTAGGGCAAAAGAGCTCCCATGCGATAGGTTCAAGAATTCCAACTCTTTCAAATTTGCGAGCATTGGTTTGCTCTTGAGATCACCACAACTTTTTCTTGTATCCTAAAAAGCTCCAGTCCACTCAAAACTTTTAAGTAATGCATAGGTACAGATGGCTCTCTCAGACTGATTTCGTTGTCAAGTGAATGCTGTTATCTGCAGTAATAAATCTTTTTGGGGAATTATGCTTGTATTCTACAGATAAGGCCAGGAAAAATTACTTTCTAGGCAATACCTTAAATATATTTTTAATTAAGTTTCTTACCAGGAGTTTGTATACACCACCTTCTTCATGAAACTTCATTGCAACTAAATCTAGTATTTCCATTTGATGCTCACCTTCATACAAAATACAATACATAGTTACAAAATTCAACAATACGATGTGTACATAAAATACAATACATAGTTACAAAATACAATGCATTGTGGGAAATTTAATTTAATAAACAGTTGTTTTATGTTTAAGCAGCTTTTTCCATCGCTTTTGCTTTTAACTCATACTTTCTTGTCAGAATGCAAACTGACTATTGACACATGTATTCAAATGAGGTAGAAAGAAGTTAGCATTTAAATGAAGGTTTTGGAAGGTGAAAACAGAGCATGTTCTGCCTGCTTGAAGGCCACATTGCTAACTTCTGATTCTCTAGCAATAAAAATTCTGTCACATTGAGCTATTCTTGCCATTAGGCTTGTTTACGCCAACTTTTGCATCATGTGTGATAGTTAACCTGTGAAGGTCTTAGGCTATATATAATGTCATTACCTTTAAATTATTGATTATCTTTTGCATTAAGAGAAATGTGTTGGCTTTTGTAGGCACCAAGTTGGTGCCCATCTGTGAGCTTTATTTCAGCTGTAAATTGTCCTTTACACCCTTCTCCAGACTCTGTTGCATTTTAAAGAGTTATTTATTATTCATCAAACAATCTTCTAATGTCAAGCTCAGTTTATGATAGCCAAACATACAAGGTGTTATAACGTACATACATAGTTCGTCTCAAATAAACCAACATGCAAGTTCACAAGCAGTCACCCCGATAGTCTAAAATAACTTTTATATTTTTAAATAACAGTCTTTTTATTTCTAGATTAAGAAAATATAAATAAATAATTAACTAATCTAAAGGCTCATTACTGCAGAAATTTTGAAAATATATTGGCAAACATTTATTTGAGCATGTTACGCCATCCATTACCCGCCGTAAGAGGGCACTGTTTACTCTTGCTAGCTAGTTTTTCTGTATCATAGTATATGTATAATGAGTAGGAATAAATGTCTTGTCCTGAAAGGTAGCGTCGATTTTTCAATGAGTGTGGAGTCCAATTTCCACCCCCATTCACACAAGAGGTAACATTTTTTTGGTATCAGGAAGAGGGATTAAGTGATAATGTGGTAATAACGTGTATCATCAAATTTTGTGTGAAAAAAATAGTGTGGTGATATGGGGATATGTGTTGCGCAAAAATCGAAAGTGAAGATGATGGTTCCATTGCGTACATTATGGTGAGTAGTTATTTCGATTTGTTGTAATAATGTTTAGTGTTAAATTCTGTTTATTAGTTTTGTGTATTGAGGTGTTCCTACTTGATAATTTGAATTGATAGTGTCTGTGTTGAGTTTGATTTTTGTGCTCATTGTGTTCTAGTTGTCAATTCAGGGTTGTTGTATTTTTCTTTGAATTAAGATGAGTCTGAAGTCGCTTAAGTCATTAAAAAAAGACGAGTTGAAACGCTCGTGGTGGAGGAGTTGGGTTTAGTAAATCCAAGAGAGGCGAAAATTGTTACTTTGAAAACTTTAATAAAAAGTTCAGAAGTTTATGCAAATGATGCTGAATTTGTGCAAAATGTTATTGATAATATTCTAGAGGAAAAGAAATGCAAAACGAGAAAAAAAAATCAGAAAACGAAATTAGTTTAGAGTTACAAAAATCAAATTGAGAAACAAAAATCGGAAAACAAAATTAGATTAGAGTTAGAGAAAATAAAACTTTCTCAGTTAGAGGTGGAATTAGCTTTAGCTAACACAAGGAAAGACTTTCTACAAAATCCAAATGTTCAGACAGACATCTCAAATCAAAATATGGAAAATTTAATTAAAAGTGTAAAAACATTAACAATTTCTGTACCTACTAAAGCAGAATCCTTTAATCTCTTTTTCCAATCAATTGAAAGGGCTTTTAGGACAAAAGTACCTGAATATTTAAAAGCAGAAATCCTATTAAATATTTTGGGAGAGAAGGTCACTTATTTAATGGTATATGTGAAGGTAGAAGATATTATTAATAATTACGATAAAGTAGAGTGCATGATTTTAAGGAATTTCAACCAACCCTTCAAGAGTGCTTAAATCATTTTCGTTCTACGCAAAAATTGTCATCTGAGAATTTTGTACAGTTTGCATCAAGGTTAGGTGCAAATTTTGAATATTATTGACAGTTGAGAAATGTAACAGATTTTAAATCGCTATGTGATCTTATGGTTTCGGATAAAATATTCAGTGAACTGATCGTGAATTAAAGACCCATATAGCAGTTAAACAGGGAGAGATATGGTTTAAACCCCAAACTTTAGGTCGTGAATGTGATATTTATTTGTCATCAAAAGGTAAACAGAATCCCTTTTTGCAAAATCATTTACAGGTAACGATAATAAAAGAGGCAATGGAAATAATGTTAATAAACTTCGTAATTATAATTACAAAAATATTTCTAATGTATATGTATCTGGAGCAAAAGATCAAACGCGTATTTTGTGTAAAACTAATTAAAACCATTCGATACAAAATTGTCCTAATTTTAAAACCCTTTCAGTAAATGAGATTGTTGAAATTATTAAGCAAAATAATCTTTGTTTCAAATGTTTTTCTTCGGAGTGTAATGCAAAAAAGTGTAGAACCAGAAATTGTTTCTGTGGGAAAGCTCATCATTCTATGATTCATCATTTCTATAAACAAAATAAACTTGTTTCCAAAGTAGAGAACGGTGGTGCCAAACAAACTCGATGCAATGCTTCAGTTTCAAGGTCAATACATAAATCATCTGTCCTGTTACTCACTTGCAGTGTATACGTTAGCTCATTGATAAAACAAAATTCAATAAAATGACGCGCATATTATGTGATAATGGCTCCAAAAGAAGCTGGTGTACGAAGTCCCTTGCCAATTACTTAAAGTTAAAATCAATTAGAAAGCAAAGGTTGTAAGTTTTTTCTTTTGGCTCAGCAAAGCCTACTGAGAAATTATATGAAGTAGTAGAATTAAAATTATCTAGTAGATACAACCCTAATCAGTGTATTCAAATTGAAGTGCTAGTGGCCAATACTATTACAGTGGCATCTGTTTCTGTTCCAAATGAAGAAGTACAATATATTATGCAGTCCTGCGGATTAGTCTAAGCCGACTGCTGTCACAGTGATATAAACATTGAGATATTAACTGGGGCAGATATGTTTTGGTAGATTATTGAAGCCTCAGCTTTCGAAAAAATAAACCAGGAAATTACTTGTGTGCCAACAATTTTCAAGTTTGCTTTACAGGGAAGTCAAGATGTTTACAAGCCAAATGTTAAGACTGCAGTTTCAGCGAATTTTTGTGTAGCTGCTTCAGATGTTCAGATATTGTGAGAGCTTGATGCTTTAGGAATTAAAGAAAAAGAAGAGTTAAATGTAGCTGATAAAGCATTGGTAGATGAATTTGAGAAAATTTTAAATTCGTGAATGAGAGATATGAAACTGATTTATTATGGAAGTTTAGTTATGATGAATTAGGAAATAATTATTTTTTAGCTAAAAAGCGGTTTGATGAGTTAGAGAAGGATTTTTCTAAAAATGATTGGGTTGCTAATGAGTATAAGGAAATAATAAATGACCAAAAACAAAATGGAGTTATTGAGGAATGTGAGAGAAATGAGCATGAGTATTTTATGCCTCATAGAGCAGTTGTTAGGGGAAGATAAAGAAATAAACAAAGTTTGTATAGTCTTTAACTGTAGTTCAAAATCTAAAGGTAATCTTTCTTCAAATGATTGTTTGGAAATTGGCCCAAATTTAAATCCAAATATTCTTGATGCGATTCTAAAATTTCGCAATTACAAAATAGCATTTAATGGTGATATAGAGAAGGCTTTCTTAATAATAAAAATTTCTGAAAGAGATAGAAAATTCTTTAAATTTCTTTGGTATTCAGATAACCCTAGTGAAGAATATAAAATTATGAGAATGAAAAGACTACCCTTTGGATGTAAAAGTTCCCCTTTCATTTTGAGTGCTACAATAAAGCATCATATAAAAAAATATGAGAAAAGTAAACCGAAGTCATTTGAAATGTTAAATTCATCACTTTACGTATACGATTTATATTATGGAGGAGACAGTGTGAGAGAATCATTTGCGTTGCCGTCGGATGCTGTATCAATATTAAAGAGTGGTGGATTTAATTTGAGGAAACCGAGGTCGAACAGTTGAGAATTAGAAAAATTGTGGATAGAAAATGGACTTAGTGACAGTGAGATAGTGCGAGTTCAACAGCTAAAGTCCTAGGGTTGAATTGGAATCCTGATAGGGATGAGTTGTCTTTGGAGATGAAGGGTTTGTTGAATTCATGGAAAACGTTGCAACACACTAAAAGATGTGTTTTACAGACAGCTGCAAGAACCTTTGATCCTATTGGTTTGATTGTGCTGTTTGTGATACGTATAAAAGTATTGTTACAGGAAATTTGGGAGAAAGCGTGTGATTGGAACTAAGAATTGCCGGAGGACTTGCAGCAAAAGTGGATAACGTGGTGTAACAAAATTGAAAAATTAATAGACGTTACTATTCCGAGATATTGTTTTGGAGTGTGAGAATGAGCAATTGGAAGTACATGTGTTTTGCGATGCTTCACCAAGTGCTTACGGAACTGCTGGTTATTTTAGATATCGTGAGAATAATGGGAATTACTCTGTATCTTTTATAATGTCGAAGTGTAGAGTGTCACCGTTAAAGAAACTAACGCTGCCACGGTTGGAGCTAATGGCCATGGTAATAGGTGCTAGAGTGAGAAATTACCTTAAGAGTGTTTTCAAGGATAAAACTGGAGAATAGTGTTTTGGAGTGATTCTTGTATTGCGTTGCGTTGGGTGAAGGGAAATGCAAAGAGATTGAAAGAGTTCGTTGCCAACTGGGTTGTGGAAATACAGGAAAGATCGAGTCCAAGTGATTGGTATTATTGTCCGTCTGATGATAATCCCGCAGACTAGAGGAATCTCGGCTGAGAAGTTGGTACTTAATGAAAAATGGTGGTCAGGTCCAATTTGGCTTCGAAAAAGTTTTGAGAGTTGGCCTAAACAGTGGGTTAG